GGCGATTTTGTTGTGTTGCCCGCATATGTCTGTCAATTCGATCCAGCAGGAAAAGGGAAAATTAAAACAGAAATGTGTAGCAGTTGAGAGCAGCAATCACGCTTGAAGTCTCGCCACATTTGCAGTTCTCACGATGAGCAGTCCACAGGAACAGATGTTTTCAAGCAAAAATAAGAAACAGGTGGATGTCGTTCAACGCTGTCGCACGCCAGTTCGCTCAGAATATTGACCGTTTTTGCACAAGATTTTGAATAACTCACGAATCGGTCGCAGCCGCATGACATTTTTAGCAGCTCTTGAATATTAGGCAATGTTGCATTAAATTTTCAGGTCAATTCGTTCAAATTATGGAGTTCATAGCAAAATCTCAAGTTCCTTGCTTTTTCTTTGGCCAACCCTACATACACAGGGTGTCCCACTTGAAAGTAGCCCGGTATTTTTTTTTTTTAATTGAACAAGAAGTAAAATGTTACATCAAATGTCGGAAATGGCTGGCTTTGCGATTCCACCTATGGCAGCAGAAATACTGGCCTTAATGGCACATTTGGGCATTTGAGATTCCCCCAGAGATAATTTAAAAAAATAGCATACAGAAAAATCCGGAGAACGCGGTGGCCATCGGCTCGCAGCTCTCTCTTCTCCGAGGGCTTGGTGGAATCGCGCGAAAGAGTTTTCCGCGGTGGCTCCTTCTTGCTGGGAATAAGCGGACTGTCGTTGCACTGTGGATTTGCCTTCAATGCAGCTGTCGACATTAAAAATCCGCTGCTGTAATGAAATCAACACGGATCGCTTACTGCTCTTCGAGAAACACAAACGCGTACCGTCATGGAAATTATGGAGCTCGACTAACGCCTACCACCCGACCTGTCGCCAAATGAGTCATGACCGCATGAGTCTTTAAGCCTTTCTTGCGGTACCGCAACAAACTATCGCGACTGTGGCGAAAGACAGCCTCCAGCAGGAAACAATATACCAAATCATTGTAAATAGCTTGCAGAAATGGGGTAAGGCTGAAGGAAACCACAAGCCCGACCGAACAAACTCCATCCGGATTTATTCCTGCCGTCAGGCTGCAGATCTAATCAGTTAAGGCCCTAATCCCCCAGAAGCAATCCCGGCCTGAGTCAATTAGTCAATTAGCTCGAATCAGCTCGGAGTAGGGCTTGGAATGACTCAGGCCTATGAAAGAAATACAGGGTGACCACAAAGTCTGAAACCAGTGGGGTATATAATTTTATTACAAACCCAATTTTGCTGCAGGCGATTTACCGAAGTTCTGAACATGGCTTTGACAAGAAAGAAACGAGTTGAATCGGTTCACCAACGCGCTAAATACCGCCTTCAAACATGCATTGCAGGAGAACATTTTGAGCATTTGTGAACTGTATTCCCCATTGGCTCCAGACTTAGCGGTCACCCTGTAGATTAAAGGTAAAAAGGCTTCACAATGAATTCAGCTGAGTGTCCTGCACTGGGCCCTGGCCTCGAGGCACATCAGGGCAATAACACCCGACCCGACTCCTTTCATTTTACAATAGTTACAGGAAACTTGTTCGAGGATTCCTGAAGACCTGCCTCTCTGCTTATGCATGTCCATCACATATTTTATCAAATATTTATTCAACTAGACTCAGTCAAACTTAATTCGGTCGGCGGACCACACCCAAAATTGTTTACCAAAATTTGCCATTCAGGTTTTTGCAGTTCCAGCTTTGGGACACACCAAATTTAAGTTTTACCCATCAATGACAGTTGTCAGCATGCACCCGCTTTTAAGTCTGTGGACGTATAACAATTTGTTAAAGATAAGCTCCAGGACGAGTGAACTATTACATTTAATAAATATTTTGCCATAGCTCTGGTAAGAAAAATGGAGACTTCACAGTCGCACGAGGCAACAGAACGCACCTACCCACGTGAAACCCATTGCACAACAGGTGACTCGTGAAACCATCGATTCGCACGCAGCTGCAACAGCAGCAGCACTGCAGTTGCGATTGCAACGGCGGCAGCAGCTGTGTCGTCCAAGATCGCATGCCTGTCTTCGTGGCTCACCCGATCGCTACCATCGCCGCCGCGCGCTGCTGCTGCTCGGAGGCAGGCGAGCGAATCATGCCTCCGTGACTGCCGCGGCTTGTCAAAAATCTTCTCCATATTCGAATATCGACAGCCTGGGTCAACCAAGGGATGTCATTGTTTAATTGACAATGGTGAAGGAGGAGTGAGGATGTCTTCTTCGAGGTAAGTTCGTGCGCGGAGGGTGCCGAGAGTCAATCCAAGAGGAAATTTCAAGAACAGAGTGCGGGCCGGATGAACCACCTCCGCGGGCAGTATGTTTCATACTCCTTAACTAGACCCAATAGGAAGCCATGTTCAATTTTTTTTAGGGCTGTCACGCTGGGTGTTTCGAAAACATTGATGTATCGACCTGAAATACCGAAAGTGCATCGACGCAACCGAGGGGGGGGGGGAAAGGGTGCCGGCAGATTCAGTCTTTTCTCGCGGCGATCGGGCAGGGGTTTGACCTCCGTTGTTTCTTGCCTCGTCGCGGACCTCTAACCGTCGTTCATAATCTCTCGTCTGTGATCAGAGAGTGGGGGAAGGGGGGTGTGACCTTCGCAACGGGTAATGAAGCCTACCGTGCCTGCAATTAGAGAAAATAACATACATACATCGATGGATGCATCGGGACAGCCCTAATTTCTTCCTATCGCCGTTGTGAATCAGTTGCCAAGTCCCATTCACGTAGGTTTTTTATTATAAATATTTTTCTTCATTCTGCACGTTCTTTGGACATCGACACTGGCAGCTTGCAAACCTGCGATGGCCGATGGTGCCTTACCGGCGATCGACACTGGTGGTTGCCGATACATCGGTACAGCCCTAATATATCCATATATAATATTGATATGTATTAAATCTCCTCAAATTTATTAACCGAAACGTGAGGTAGTGGTTGGGGTTTGATTCCATCCGAAAAGAATCGGTGAATTGGTTTAATCCGGCAACACTGCCTCGGAGCCCTTTTTTTTTCTCCCCCTTTGAGGCCGGCGGCTTCCACACTCTATGACATAATAAACACAGTGGGATGCGAAGAAGATGATGAAGATGATGAGGGTGCCTCCATATCGCGAGATGCCGGAGCCTCGGGGAAAGCCCAACTGTCAGGCCTGAAACCCTCATCCATGCGTAATGGGATGGATGACGTGGGAGGGGGGGGGGGGCCGAAGCATCACGTGCGCCTTTGATGCCGCGTTGCATCATCGGAGGAATCGGACGCTGGGATTTACCGTCGCGTTTCTCACAGCGTGTTGGATTTGAATCGCCATGACGATGACTTGCACGGCCTAATAAAAACTCATTCGTTCATTTTTGTACCTCGTGGAACCAGAAATGGGCGTCGGTTTCGCTTCCATACGATTCCATGCCATTCAGATCGAGTTAACGATGAAGTGTGAGAGGGGGGGAGGGGGGGGGGGGGGGGGAATTTTTAAGGAATTCAAACCGAGGGAAAAGGTTGAGAACCCGTGGCACCGGTGGGCCGCTAAAATTTCGTCCCTTGTCTTCAAAACCGCAAAATGACAGCCACCCGATGCAATTCACTTAATACAATATGACGAAAGAATAGGGTTGCCACCTTTGAATTTAATAAAACTTAACCCACAGCTACATAAAGCCAAGGCGCCAATCGATACTATAAGTGTGGCCTACTGCTTTTGACTTACAGAAAATAACGATACAAGTTTAAATTATGGACAAAACAGTGTCCATATTAGGACCAGTTTGCAGTATGGACATTGCATCTGAAACATGTACTGTCCATACTAATTGTGAACAGGTGGCAATCCTACGAAAGAATAAGATCGATAGGGACGGAGAGAGGGAGAAAAGGGAGTGAAAATGCCTCAGGCCGCGAGTGAAAACTTGCTCTTGCTTGCGAGTTTTCAGCCATGCAGAGAAGCCGTCGGTCGTCCGACTCCCTCCGTCTGCTTGTCTCTTCCACTGAGCTAAGGTCTCCTCGCGATTCTCTTTCGCGGCCTGAGTGACAGTGGTGCCAAACTCCCAGTGTATTAGCGTGTCTCTGCCCGCTCTTCCGCGTGTGAAGTTTTCAGTATTGGCGAGTTCTGGCTCTCGGCATTGTCGTTATTAGTATCGCTTTGAATTCCTTTTCATTTCTGAGAATGTCTCTTTTGTTCTAACAATTTCTCAATTTCATGCTTCTCATTGAATTTGTGAGATTTCGGGATGCGTAAACTTTTTAATCGCACAAATCATGCAGGTCATAGACTTCATGCTAATTGGGTCTTTGCAAGGGACGTGAGAATCGCGGTAGAGACACGTTACACTGTTGATCTCCTAAAACCCTCCTTTGCGCGGCCGCCGTGACCTTCACCAGCCTGCAACATGACCGAGGTCGGAGGGGGTGGCGGCGGTGTGTTCCACCCACCGTCCACTCCAGCTGGCTCGAAAGGGTCGGTTTTTCGAAATATCTTTCAAGGCATCGATTGAGCGACGTCGGTGTGATTACCGATGGACGGTAGTCGGAAAAGAACTTGCCGAGATCATGGTCTGTGAATAGTCCATTTAGTCTATTTACAGACCATGCGAGAGAAGTCTGAGATTGTGCAACACTGTTGAAGGAACATGGCTCCCATCTTATCGAGAATGTGACCTTGTGCTCTCAGTCACGTAACCCTCGTACGGCCGAATTGTGTCGATTCATCGAAGACTCAGTTGAATTTAAGATCTGAATGTGCTGAAGTGGAAGTGCCCTCACTTAGATGAAATGTAACCAGGACGATAATCTTCAGGCTAACCTAAGTTAGGGTGACCAGATTTTTTCCAGGGAAAACCGGAACATTTTCAGGAAAATTTCGGAATGATATTCCTGCAATGGGAATAAAACCGGGACGTCTGGTCACCCTAGCCTAAGTCGGCCTTATAGTAATTGGTGGGCCTAGAATGTTACCGTGGTGGCACAGCTTTTGTCTAATGGTATTCTTCTGCAGTCCGACATAGGTTTTGGAGGCCAAGTACCCCTCCGACTGAGGAACAAAAACCCAGACTGCAATAATGTCAGGGGAAAAAGGCACTTTGGATCCATATGCAGAGGAGAAGGCAGGGAGCAAATTTTGGCGAAAGGCTAAGGAGGCGCCATATGTTCCTTTGGGTGGGTACTCACTAGTTTACTCATAGTATTAGGATTTTGTTTATTGTGAAACTTGGGAACAATATTCAGTGTCTTATCATCCAAGCTGGCTCAGCCCCTACTTGAGGGATGAGCTGAATGCCATCAGACTCATAACATCATCTCAGTTGATGTGACCTTCATTCTCAACCTTTAGGTTGTGGGCAAGCTGGCTTTCTAAAGATGGCTAAGGTTTAGTCTATAAGCTGTTTAATATTTCAGAGTGATGACTTTCATCATGTTGCAAGTGTCTTGCTTATTGAAAAAAGGTGGGGTTTCAACCTAAGAGTACCTAGGAAGATGTAGGATTTCCCAAGTCATGTAATTAAGGCAGAGGGCTTACTCAAAGCTCTAGCACTGCAGGGAATAGACCCCTTAATGGGTGATTTCAATAGTTGATTTCAATGCAGATACCCCCAGGCCAAGAAATAATTTTCCCACTTTTCAATGAGATATCTTAAAATTAATGTGCTTGTCGCCTATTTCCTATACTGACATGAGAAGTGTTTAAATGACCATGATATCCTTCAATGAAAAGAGCTGATAGGCCAAAACAGATTGCTCAAAATCTTCCTTCCAGTTATGTTGGAGGTCATGATTTCCAGCTCAGCCCAGAGGTTGGGGCAGAGCCATCTTGGCCATTAGACACTGCCTTGAAGATATATAATGTATGATAAGTAGTAAAGTATACTTATAAACATTAAACTTTTCAGGTATAACTGGAGCCCTGGCAGCAGTAACATACTCGATTGTGCACTACAGACATCGTCACCCAGAGGTGAAGCCTTCTGTTTATGTCATTCACACGCGTCTCGCAGCTCAAGGCTTCGTCATAGCAGCCATGATTGGAGGGATCTGTTACTCCATGTTCAATGAACACTTCAAGCCTATGTGGGACGAGAAATTCCATCACGAACGCATGACTAAGAAGAAAGAACATTAGTGGATTGCATGTCAGTTGTAGTGTTCCTCTCTCCCCAATGCTGATTCATCCCAACTCAAGATTGGATCATTTCATTTAGCAGACTTTGAGTTGGCCAAGTTTTGGATGAATGGGCATAGGATGAGGGTATCACATTAGGACTTTTGAATGCATGTGGTTTCAGAGATGGATTCTTGCATATGAAAATTTTGACCTCTGCCAGCAGAGTTCAGGGGAACACGTTTATTGCCAAATTTTATTCACTGCCTCATCCTCTGAGTGACCTGCTCATGACAATGGCTTTTTCAGCATTGCCTCTTGAGGACTTGGCTTATTTCTGTATTGGTACAAGTTTTCTGCATCCATATGTTCTTAGCAATGTGGCCAGAATGGCAGTGAAGGGATCTTGCATGAGAATAGGTCATTGTTTCATAGCTCTGGTATAGTGTTTCTCTTGTGTCAATTCTGTGAGAAAGCAGAAATATACAAACTGGCAGTCTCTGATAAGTTTTTCATTTTGCAAAATAAGACTCCAGGAAAACACAACATTTTCTTCAAGAAGAATTGAGAAGGAATGATAAGATCCACCACCATAAGGCATTTCAGTCATTGGTCAAGAGGCTGTCACCCCTCCCATCAGATGGACTGGTCTTCCCTTGTATTTTTTGGAGATTTCCTCTTCAATCTAGGAAGATAAGTAATAAAATGTGCAATCATAGGAACTTGAATACATGATTTAGTCATGAAAACTCTCTCCTCCATACACTAAATCATCTCTCTGAGTCTTGTGGATGTAATAAAGTTGATGTAGAGAGACTGACCTGTCTTTGGAAGTCAGATGTTTTCTGAAGGATGACACTTAGTTGTGGTAGAAGCACTGCATGCTCCTTGGAACTTTTGAGGCTACGTTCTTGTACAGCCTTGATCATTTCTTCCATTTTCTCTGCTAGCTCCAATCTCTGCACCAAGCTCTTTCTCAATTGCTCCACATATCTACAAGCAGAGTAATCCACTGTAAAGATTACTTATTCACTTAGTGATGGAGACATGCTAACATCCTGAGAGTCAACGTAGTTACTATTTTACTTGAATGTAGTGGATACTTTTTGAAGCTGATGAAAAAGTAACTAGCCTTACAGTTTTTCCCAATTGCTAGAGCCCTATTTCATATGTTGATGGACATTTTTCAAAACTTTTTACGTACGATCCGCAAAACTCTGCACTCTTTTCTCACATCCATGCGTCCAACGGTCAAAAGCGTGTCCCTTTATCAAAATCAAAGTACACTCTTCAATATTCTAATGTACGGGGTAAGGAATGTCTATAGACGGTCAAGAAGAGCCAGTGAAAATAAATCTTATGAAGATTTCCCTAATCTCTATATGCATTCCGGTTACAATATCTCTTCAGAAGGCTGGAATAGAAGCTGAAAGGGTCGAGAAAGAAAGACAAAGTCCCTTCAGTCGGTTTCTCTTATTTTTTAAACTCAAATTAACGTCATGCGATAAAATGCATAGTTTGGGACCTTAAGTATTCCGTCATGTCATAGATTTCTCGCTTATGTATCATACAGAAAGAAATATGAAGATATGATATGCACTGCTTCTAGTAGGGAAATGAAAATAAATTCACTATAACGAATTGTAAGCCCCAATAGATGTAATTTGTAATGATAGGTTTCACATCGAAGAAACTTTTTTTCGTAGGGTCACGAAGACTTCTGGAGTCCAGACATGGATTTCTCTTTTTTTTTCCGAGCTTAACATTTTACGTACCTAACGTACCTGGAGTCAAAACTCTCAGGACGATCCATTACTGTGAGTGGGAAGGCGATGAGTCTTGCGGATCGATGCCTGCCCTGTCAGCCGTACCTGGCGAAATCGATCAGATCCTCCCCAATGTATTCCAATGGAGAGTGTGTTACTTTTTGAGGCAAGGACGTTAAGTTTTGCTGCGAGTGCCTTAAATTCGTTTTAAAGGACACCAGCAATGTGATCTATTGGAAAATATGTTTAGGTGAAGGACGTTTGGCACGTATGCCGTATGAAAATTTTAAATATAATAGATGGCGCTATACCTGGCCGATGATGTGCTCGTGCACTAACGTCGTTTCTCTGTGATATTTGTTGTTCATAAAATATGTTTACAGTTTGGCGGATCGTGCAATGAGGACTTGTCTTCAACTTCCACTCTGACAATTTATACTATCTAGGCTCGGTTGCTGAGTGGATGTGTATACAGCGGGTGTTTCAACAGTGATCAACCAGGATCGAACCGGCATAGATTTATTTCTGTAAAAATCATAAAACCGCCATTGAGATTATTTCGCGTGAGATATATGGACGAGGTGCTGCTAGAAAGCACGAACTCCCCCCAACAGATCAAGGTTTCTGCCGGTCGAGCTCATTACTACCTTCCCAAACCCTAATAAGGTCAGACTGTTATTTTGAGAAGTCACTTGACTTGTGCAGTCATTCAAAAGGGTGCAGGGCGTTGTATCTGGTCGAAGACTCCTCAACGAGTCAATATAGCGAGCATAAGTTGGAAAGATTTGTAGATCATAACATGAGATGAGAAAACCTCTGTGATTGGTTGGAAGGAATTTTGGAGGATATAGATTGCCGTCAGAAGCCACGCATCCATCGTCCGCACTCGTCGAATCGGTCTTCTTATCCTTTTCCGTACGTTAGGTTTCGAAAAAGGTACGTAAAGATATGAAAATCGCGTTTCGCTTTTCGTACGTTAGCAATGAAATCGGATGTTAATCAGGACGCATGGTCCCAGAAATTACGAAATCATAATCTTCTGGAACGTTCTCAACAGTTCCAGAGGGTATTCATTGAAAAAAAATCTGCATCCTGGCATCAGGACGCATTGTCGCCAACGTGTTAATGAAGTGGTCATCTTCATCAAAGTAGACACCATCCTGATCCAAAATGATTGAGCACGATAAACCTCCACTGCTATCTGGAGATATAGACCTCGTAGATGCGAGGACTACATACATTTACCCAGCTAATCTCTCGTAGTTGAATTTTGAGACCTGAAAATTTCACTTCATTTCAGTTCTCCTGGAAGTGACACTCCCCTTTCCTTCACTTCAAATACCAACAGTTAAGTAAATTTTGAGTTGCCCTGGATTTGTGGCATTTGTCTCTCATCCCATCTATGCCTGAGGTAACAGGAGCCTTTGAGAAAGGTTTCAGAAAGAAGTTCAACTAGAGAAAGGAAGTAGCAACAAGGGATTTCTTTACACCTTTTCCCCTTCCACATTCAACTAACACAGCACAATTTTTATTCATACAACACTGGGTTGTCTCATGTACTATTGTACATGGCATTATTGAAATATAAAGTAAATGCAAATACCAAATCAGAAGCTCCTCATCAAATTAAAATACAAATTAACTATTTTAAATTAAGATAAAAATTTTACCATTTTGTAGGCAAATAGATTCTTCATATACTCCATGAATCACTCTTTTGGCACTGACATGTGAAAAAGTGATAGCATCATAAGGGTGAACCATTATTAGCCAGATTAAATTATGCTTAAAAAAAACCAAACAAATATAGGAACTTGCTGTCATTGCAAATGTGTTGAATGGGAAGTGACAATAGAAACTTGGTGAAATGCCAAACCTAGGAGAGGACTTGATGCGGAATAGGTGCTGAATCTGGGTGTTGGTGAGACGAGCAATCAAGTCTTTGACCTGGCAGAGCATCTTTTCCACATTTGCCTGACTCTGCATCTGGACAATTTGAGGAGCAGATTGGAACTGGGACAGGGCCACCACACTCCCTTCTGACTGCAATTCTTGCAACCGCTGCACCAGGAACATTTCCAACTGTGGAAATGTTCCAACACATTCAAAAGCAATGTTATTGGTTGCACTAAGTTTCATGAATAGGGTATAAACTCAACCTCATCAAAAAAGAATCAGTGCAGCAAAAAAATATAGGATAAAGCAATTTTTCCTATTTGGAATTATAATTTTTTATTGATGCCTTCTTCTCACTTCAGGAATTGATATTGCAAATAGTGATGCAATGTTAATCTGTCCATATTGCATGCTCCATCCTTCACCAGAACATTAATGCTTGTTTGACAGGACTACTAATTTCTTTCTTCATACCCTTCCTGAGACCTCAGATGAAATTGGGGTCATGTCCTTAATGCAGAAACGTTAGGCCCATGAATCTTTAGATCCTCACATCTGAATAAAAATTCTGAAATCTCCAGCCCTTTACAGGCTACATTTACAAACTATTCAATACTTCCTGTCACTTTTGCTGCTCAGGCAGCTGTGGAGCACACAGAGTACATAAGACATGAAAAACTAAGAACCCACTTGACAGGGGAATCTCATGCACATAAATGAATGGTGCTACGATGATACTCATAATGTCATGTCCTGCAAATGCAATACACATCACAGGGGATTACAGTGAAGGCACCATATGAGTTCCAATTGTTGACTAAAGGCATAACAGGGATAAAATGACATTCAACTATAGACCAATATTATCCCCCTCTTGATTCAAAAACCATGCATCTGCCTTTATACTGATTTAAAGGAGACATTTTTTAGCTAATGGATATTTTTAACAAAGAACCTTTTATAGCATAAATTATAAGGTTAAAATTGGCTAAAAAATTTTCATGTTTGGTTCAAATATTACTTTATCTATTGGCCAACTTCTCATTACAATGGAAGTAAATGTTTTTCATGTGTCTGGCACATATATATAAAGTATAGTCAAACCTAAAACTCTGTCTATGGTTCATTATAGTTTCCAACAATAATACTTGCATTTGCAATGATGGTACTATCTTTCACACCCTTTGCTGATGACACTAATATATTTTTGTCAGCAACAACACCATCAACATACATTCTCCAACAGAATGGTGACATTTTCCTGACAGATATAATGGTTCAACTCCACAACTTGTTTCAACTGGGGGGAGGGGGGGGGGGGGCTTCTAAAGGAGACTGCAAGCAGACATGTGGCAAACATGTCTTCATGTGGCACACAAATGCCACATGCAAAACTGATTATTCTCTAGAAGATCATGCATCCACTGAAACTCCCCAGCTACGGCTTAAAGCATAAAAACAAAGCAACATTTATACAATTACAAGTCTCAATGAAGGTGAAATTACAATCAGGACATAAAAACAAACTGGGGGTACAATAAGCTGCCCAAGAGTCAGGAAGGAAATAATAGGATATAATGAAACAAACCTCATAAAGTTCATCGAGGAAGATGCCTCGAGTGGTGGGATTGTCAAGGAGGGCAAGAGCCTCTGAATCCCGAGCCACCCCACCTTCCATGCCCTGCTCCTCCACTGTGATCTCTTTGGTCTCGACTACAACTTCCCAATCGATCCCCAAAGCATCTCCACTCCCATCACCTTCCACACTTACCAATCCCCAGTCTATCTCTCCTGTATCAGTAGAATGCAGATGCTTTGCTATATATAAACAAAAGAAACTATTGTCTTCTATACACAGTGTAGTTAACTAAAGGGCAATACTGGGCTTCATTGGCTATGGAATGAAGAAGGATTACCAATATTTTCTCAAATACAGTAATGCAGGAGGTGAAACAAAAACTTTCTATAGGAAAAACTGCCACAGGCCTTTTGCATAGGACTTTTTCCATCCCATGCCTTTCTTCATTTTCACACATTCACATACATACATACATAGTCTCTATGGTTGCTTTTCCCCAATCCAGAAACTAGAGTGGTTAAAGGCATGTTTGAAAGTAGAGACAAAATTTGCAGAGCAGTTCTTGAGATCAGTCATTTTTTTTCATTTCTATTGATGCCAGTGCTATACATACAAGGTATATGAGATACTGTAATATTCAAATTGAAAAAAGTGCATTCCACGAAACATATCAAGATATCATGTCCATTTTTTCCCCATTCATTGGTTGGAATTTTGTGCCATCACAACAGCAACTTCCATACATTTGGAACATGGTCTTCTGTGAATTAACATACAATACATGACTAGTCTTGCAGCACTGCCTCCATAGGGCATCAAGGAAAAGGAAAAGGGCATCATATCACCAGCTGCTTATTGAACACTGAAAAAAAAATTCAAACTTCTAATACTATACTTTTTACAGCATGTCCCACATAAGAATATCACCATTAACCCTTTCACTGCCGTTCACACCATATGGTGTGTCCAACGTGATGAACCTCCACCGCCATTCTAGACAAGGAGAGGTTGGCTAGGCCTGTAAATCCTCAGCAGTGAAAGGATTAAAAACAAAAACCTTGAACAAACATCAAATTTCACTCATCTAACCACTGTATTCATAGTATTTGCTGCATGTGTTAAAAGTGCTGTTCCACAACCTCAATGGACTTGTGACATGTGTTAGCAGTTCCATTGCTCAAAGTTTAAGAGAGTCAGCTGTTTTGGATTGCAGCAGATGTCCAAATGATGTCTGTCTCTCCTTGTTCTGAGGAGTCTTCCATACACTTGTGCCTATGGCTTGGTGCAAAATTCAACTCAAAGCTGTCTGTCTCATGCTGTGAATTTTAGGCAACGTACAGCTGTCCAGCAACACATAAACATAGCTCCAAGAGAGTATTTGTCATTTAGTCAGAATCATTAAGCCTACTGGAGTCATTTTTATAAAGAGGACTTACCAACTTGTAGACCAGCATCCTCTCCAAGTGAATCAGGTGCATCTATACCTCCAAAGTCAATTTCACCCTCATCCTAATCAACAGATCATGCAAATGGTTAAAATTTGTAAAATGAACCACTGGATACAACTTTTGGAAAAAAAAAATCATCCTTGGTCCATACATTATTGGTTTCTGTGTTCCCTCTCATTACTTCCTCATCTGGTAACTCTAGGTGAGGCTCCTCAATCGACAGTGGAGGTTCTCCATATCGCCACTCATATGTCGTCACGTTCCCATGCTCTACCCAAATGAGGAACAGTAAGACCTACAGATGAGACAATCTCACTCCCTGCAGATAGATTTAACTACTTGTGAAACTTTCATTCTAAAAAAACTCCCAGTTCTGAAATAGAGATACTTTTGGATGTGACATTTGTGCCACTTTTCACTGACAGAGCAATTCCTTTCACCTTCACTTTTTTTCCAGAAAGTACTTTAAAATTAGTAACAGCCCCTCCTTTTTTATTTGCACCCTTGCTTCTAAGCTTAAAGGAACATGTAAAAGGAACCACACCCATGATGTAGGAGAGGAGGGGCAGACAAGGAGTAGGTGGAGGACCCCTGAGGGTAAACTCCACCATGGCTGCATAATAGGCCACTGCTTCTTTGAAAGACTTGGAATCCTTGGCCAGGGCATCCAGAGTCACTGGAAGACCAGTCACCAGATCCACCAGTTCCTTACGAATGTTCTCCCCTGGGATCCCCATCTGCTTGCAGCTCTTTTGATACTGAGACCGCAGGCTTTCTTTGCTCTTCTCATACTCAGTCTCCTTCCTCTCGCATTCCTGATGAGGGAGTAGCCCATTGATTCCTTTGCAGTCCTATAATCTGCATTGGCTTACAACACCAAGCAATTTTTGGAAAAGTTACTTTTCAAAAGTAACAAAAGTACAAAAATAAAAAAAACATCACAACACAAGCTAGTAGCTGAACTCCTGCACAAGCAGAATATCCTTTGTGGAGATGAGAGGATTAAACAATGGCCTGAATATAGAAGAGTAGATCTGAAAAAATTTTAATTTCGAATCATGAGGATAAAATGGCAAAACTTAAATGCTCTAAGGCTCAGCTGAGCACAAACAAATGGTCAAGTTTAATGCATGTTTTGAGTAGTTGACTTGACCTTGGGGTTTTCGAGTTTTGGCATTCAGCCCTTAATTGGCAAGGACAATAAGAAGAATATGGAATAAAAATACTACATTGAAAAGGATTCAATGAGAAGCAGATCATTTTCCTCAAAATTACAGTTGAACTATATCCAAATAGACAGCAGGAGTTCAGCTGTAGTCTCTTGTCCCAGGTTTCTTCATTGCACATTTGATGGGGATCTCTGCATGCCACTGCACACATAGCAGTGATGAAATCACATGACTTCACAATCAGTTCATGACTTTCGTCATTTAGTGAGCATGGAGGAAACCTAAGGTCCAGCTGCCATGTGCTTGTAGCACATGTTAGTATAAAAATCATCTATGATGGAAGGAACATCCATCCAGCAAGGTATCTGCCTCTCCCATATGCAAGGTTAAAGCAAACTGATTCCAATATGGATACACAAATGACTAAAAATAGGTAATTATTCCACCTATTCCTCATGTGACCTTTTTTTTATTTATTGAAGGGCTGAGTCCAAGATAGTGCTAAGGTATTTTCTTCGGATTTAAATTATCACTTTAGACCTAATGTTACATCTGTACGCAACAGCAAAGTTTTCCATCCTGCAAGAACAGTCTTAGCAAATACAATTATTCCCACTGCTGAGGCCTGGGGAAATCCTAAACCTTGAAAGACACTTTCTCTAAATAAATAATAATATTTGCTTGAAAATGAAATTTGAAAAGGTTTGTGGTTTGACCCTATCTACAGAGAGCCCTTCAGTTACAAAGCTATACTTCATATTGTGCAGCAGAACCTTAGTAGAGTTATACACTTCAACTTCATTTTTTAATACCTCCAGATGATCAAACCTTCTTGAACCCAATGTCTGAAGGTAACAAACTCTTCTGCAATGTCACCAATGACAATCCACAATGAAGGAAAAATTCTGCCATACTGTTGCCACATTCTCCATTTTTTTGACACTCTCACAGTGATGAGCAAAAAACTAGTGGCTGACCTGCTGAATCTGTTCACACTTGGCAATCTGTTTGCGGAGGCTAGGGATGTCATACTGGATGGTGCGGGCCAGGATCTGTGCTGCCTCAGCCAAGTACAAATTCTCTTTTTCGTACATTCGCACCACTTCCTGCCAGTCCTTCATCCGCTGTGAGGAATAATAACCAAGGAAATTCCTCGAGTCCTTTTCTGTCTCTTTCAGGATCTCCACTATCTTCTGACAATGGAAATAATTGATGTCTGAAAAGAGAAAAACAGAAACTTTCATTGGTACATGAGGACCAATTTTCCAGAAACTGTAAGTGAACCACAGCCTACAAGAACTAAAGGGAGAATTAAAGGAAGAGAAATTAGCAAAATTGATAGCCATATCCAAAATTAATATCAAGACAGAAGAGCTGAGAGTAAAGCCACATGGCTTAGTGATCATAGACTTCTGCTTCCTGCTAGTAGCTTGTTCCAGGGAATTTCCAGTGAATTTTGCAGTTTCATTCCCCCTTGAAGATTAATATCTGTGATAAATATAAAAAATGCAAACGACTTTCAGTCAATATATATATCCAATCCCATCCAAAATTTCACTGAGCAATTGACATGTTTAAAGTAAACAGATCTTTGAAAGATCTGCATCCATGGCACTGAGGCAAGGCTGCAAGCAATCATTCATATGAAGTTGGACATTAAAAATGAACAAAAACTCAAGCTAGTAATGGATACAAGACATTCTCACTATGCACATAATTGAGTCCATATCCTCAATTTAAATTCATTCTTTGGGCTGATCTTTCCTTGCAGATGATTTTCATGTGCTTCATTTCCAAATAATGACCAATGAATCACCAAGTATTACTACAGAAAGTTGGCTCAAAATTTACTTGGACTTAATGCAGATTTTCCCTAGATTTGCATCAAAGAATGAGGTAGGCAGTCCCTCCTAAAGAACAGAAAGTCCCCAGTTCATTTTTCAATTTCTGATAACTTTGAATAAATGCTCAAAGTCTTGCTTATTTTGAGTTATTTGAATGACTATTTATATTTAATTTCTACAAGTTTAATAAAAATTGTTTGAGATATATAGGTTCAATTTTGGTCTATTTGTCATACCATGTAGATCTGCACATGTAAAAAATTGCTGGGGAAATGGTTGATGCAGGGGTTATTCATACTAATAAAATTGGGAATTACCTTTTCCCTAGTTGGTAAAAGGTTGATTCAGAAGTAGATCATTTTCTAGTTTTTTTTTTTTTCCCTAGATCAAGTTCAAGAATCATACCTGAATATGCTGAAGTATTTCTTTTTTTCTTTGACTGGCTGTATGTCCTAGATGAATTTTTTTTATTACAAATCTAGGAATTAGCAGCACAGGGCAAACTAATCAGCAAATGGAAAACCAACTACAGACAGTAAATGGTCACATTACACCATAAACTGTGAAACAGAAACTTTGCATTTCAATAGAGTCTCTGGTACTGGAACATCTACAGATTATATTTACCAAGGATGGTCACTGTGGCATCAATCTAAGGAAAAGATGGAACATGGTGATCTGAGGTTACAGGTGCCGGAGAGGAGCCTGGTGATGTCAGGGTGAGCCGGCATGTCCTGGATGGCATTGTTGATCTTCTTGCGAATCTCAAGGACTTTACTCTGCCAGCCATGATTCACATGTCGGCGACTAGCCAGCCAGTCCTGCAATTTCCCTATTTGGATGTCAATTGGGAGCAGCAACTCATCTCCCTGCTGGAAATAAAGAGTGAGTAGTCACTACAAGCACAATTGCCAATGAAAAGGATAAACTGAAGTTCAACTCACCTGCATCATTGGATGAGATTAGGGTCCACCATAAATGTCAAAGACCAAATCAGGAAGGGTTAATGAAATGCAGATGAATAACCCTCTCATCACAAAATCTAAATCATGCCTATTCACAACCTAGCATAACTTGGTCCAGGAAAAAAAGAAAGACAATATGAACAAAAAAGTCAAATATCTCGGAAGCACAAAAAATGTCAACATTGATGGTAAACCGAATAAGGAGGAGTGGGGGGCATGGTGGAATACCTTCCAGCCTGCATGGAACAATCCCCAAGGGTTCAAGGTCCAAAACCCATAAGTGAAAACACCGACTCTTCAGAATAGCTCACAATCATTTATTTATTGAACATGACTTATTAATTATAGAAGGTGGTATAGGAGTGAGGCATATCATGACTTACAAATAGTAAACAAATAGTACAATACAATACAGTACACTTCCATCTTAGACACTGATATTCAAAAGAATTCACACAGATTCCCCTGAATACAGATGGATAATTACATTAATGGGATTGACAGTTATGAAGCTCTCAAGTTGCATCCAAATGCCTTTAGTTGCAAAACTGGCAAGAGTTTTTGCTGCAGAAGCTTGTGGCAGTTGTATTGGCAAACAGGCAGGAATGTAGACTCCTCAGACACAAGGTTCAACATAATTCCCTGGGAAAAGTCCCTGGACACCATTCATCACACCCTCCCACCATCCATCGTCGTTCTTCTTCAGCACATAGATGACAGCATTCTCTGGGAAGCTCAGCTCATCCTCCTTGTCAGCCATGTAGTCATAGATTGCAACCACTGCAGCAAAGGAAACACGTTGCAATTCTCAGGAAACGGGGAAACAGATTGGAGGGCTCTGCATGCAACTTTGATCACATCCTTTGCCCACAACATGGAGATGAAAATTGTTTGCAACTGGAGACGAAAGGCATACCCTTTTCAATGTAGTTTCGAGGGACCCAGTCAGGAGGTTTGGTCTGTACAACCCTTCCTGGTGCATAGGGCTGTTCGTCTCCTGTTCCAGGAGGGGGTGGAAGTGGTGGGGATCCACGCATGTCCACACCTCCCCCTGCCATTGGTGGCAGTGGACTTGGTGGGGCTGCAAATCCATCATATATCAATCAGATACATTAAAAATTATCACCAAGTACATGTGATCAAACCCAGACAACAAGCTCATCTGTTCAAGGCCAGACTATGCGCTTGTCCACTCAAAACAAAGCCAAGTCTGAGGGAGCTCCCCAGAACAGCTCTAGTTCTTGCTACAGTCTAAACACCAATGGGAAGAGGCGGATAGAAGACAAAATGAGATCTTGGCAAAGAATGTAACCAAACTATGTATTGTAATTAAAGAAGAATCCAATTCTTTTATATACTCAGCATCTGAGCAATCACCCAAATTCTGAACCAAGGGAAGAACTGAAAGGAGCTTTGTAGTTGAAATGAGTGATTCTGGCTGACAATTAACTCACCAATTGTTCGCACAGTTTTCTTCAAGATTGATCCTGATGGGCAGCATTGCAAATAGGGTACCAGTATAAAATGGACTTTAACAATCTGGGTTCTATCATCATCAATCATCATGCTACACTGGGACACAAATCCATGTCAATGTCATTGTGTGAGTATGACAAGCATGGGTAATTGATACTCACGTGGCATTGTAATGCTCTGGGGGGGAGGAGGGTTATGAATGTGTGGTCCCTGTTGATTCATGCTCATGCCAGATGCATATCCAGAATGCCGTCCCACCGTGTTGCTGGGATGAACAACACCAACATGTCCATGATGTTGGTTCCCAACAACATTGTTCTGCAGATGCATTGGGAGGGTGCTGTACCCACTACCACTGCTCCGGTCACTTCCCAATCTACCCTGCCGTGCCAGACCATAGTTGGGGGCATAGTGTGTTGGGACCTGCAAAAGAGACCACCCCTTTATCTCCTATAGGCTGTTGTCTGCTCCACTAAACTATGGGATTGAAATGCTATATGAGAAATTGACTTTTACATGGATGCACTTGACATTTGTTTTCTGAAATTCTGAATAGTTCTCTGAAGTTCTTGTAATTCTGGCTAAAGATCTCAGTTTATCCTTCAGGATAAACTAAAGTGTATCAAAGTACAGTGTTGACACACTTTCTATTTCCACAAATGAGATTGAAGCAAAAGTTATGATGTAGCAAAGGACCAAGTTGGATTTAGAAAGTCAGACATCAGAGCTGACCTGAGGAGGAGCAACAGCAGGAGGGGTCTTGTAGTCAGAACCCCGCTTGACGAGGGTGCCACCAGGGGTCCGAATGCCCTGAGGAGGAGTGGGAGGCTTGGTATTGGGAGCTGGACCAGCAGCTATCCCCATCTGATTGTTGCTAGAACGGCGGGAACGAGGGGTTGTCCCTGTGCTTCCCATGTTCCGAAGACCATGTCCTATTTCATCCAATGCTAAAAAAAAAAAAAAAAAAATTTTGTCCCTAAGGATTAATTTAGAGAAGCCTCAAAATCAGCCACAAAAAGGACACTGTCTAGCGCTGGTGATACATTCTCCTAGCCCAGAAGACTATTCAGGTCTTTTTACATTCTTTGGATATTCAAAGGTCAGTATAAATGTGTAAATCTTCTCCCTCCACATATTTTCACCCAAATTTTTGTCAAACAATGTTTTGATTTTTAGCTCACAAAACAGAATTTTTGCTCACAACCCTCCAGCATTTCTTCAAAGTTGTTTTCATCAAACATGTTCCAAGCAGTCAAGGAATAGATAATGAATCACATTGCATTATGCAAATAATGCCATAGAAAGATACAGGGCACGATTGGCCATTTTACATCTTTCCAGGATCAATTAATAACTTGAGTGCATAATCCTCTCAGCAGTAATACAAAAAAAAAGAACACGAGTCTGTTACCTGTGTAATCGATGGGCTTGCGGACATACTTGATGGGCCGCTCCTGGTTCGCTGGGGCAACAATCTTAAACTGACGCGATGAGCTCTTGTTTGTGGTCAAAACCCCAATCTCTCTACGTGCCACCTTCTCCTTGTGGATCATCACTTGCTACAATAGAATGAGATTAATGAAATTAATACTAAATGTTATGATACAAGGTGAACTTATTTTTCAAGTCACTGGCAGGTATTGCCTATGGCCACAATATATGACACCTGCAGTAAGACAGTACCAGCAGAAAGACATGATTGTGTTTTTATATTTCTGACACAGAGTCCCTTACCCACGTTACTAGCCAAGTCTTTAACTGAGCTGCCTGACTAGTTATCATTTCAGAATTTCTTCAGCTATACAAAAAGAAAGCGTGGAGCCAGTTGCACAGTGTCGCACAGACTTCGGACAAAGGCCCTGCCTTCTTGGACCTCCAATATTCCAGACCATGTGAACCATCTTTCCCTTGCATCCTTGTTTCTCCAGCAAGTGTTATGTCTTTGCTTCTAATAAAGTGAAGACCTAAGAAACAGTTCTGTTTTTCTTCTAATTGGAGGTGGAAGAGATTGGGGGGTTAAGAAGTGTCAGTAATGTCAGTGGAATGAAAATAATGCACTCATCCACAACATGAGACATCAGGTTGAGCTAAAACCATAAAATCTCCATGGCACATAGTTGTTAACACACCTTCGGTATTCCTGGAAAAAGTATATGCTTTACATGTAAGCCTGTGATGGGTGAATAATGGTAATTGCACCAACAAAATATTTCAAGAAAATACTTTTACTATAATTACTACTGATGCAAGACTAAGTGCCTAGGGCTGCAAAACAATCTTAACCCTTTGCTGTCCTTTATCCAACTGGGTGGGCCATTGGTCATAGTATTCTATATAAAATGGACTGCAAAGAGCTAACCTAGCCCAGAGGATGCACCTGCAAGAATCTTAACTTATTAACTAAAAGGTTAAGCTATGCAGTTGGACAGGTGCTGAACTATGTGTCTCACTACAGCAGACATGCAGCCTTACTCATTGAGTATCAGTGATGTATTATGGATGACCTAAATAAGGAATTAATTACTTATACTATTCCATCTCAAATTTACAACCATCTTGTATGCAAAAATGTAGCAGCAAATCTTGGGACCATGAAAAAGACTGACCTGGGCAATGTGGTTCATGTCACTCTCCATTTGAAGGAGTTGGGTCTGCTGGGCATCCAACATCTTCAGGAAATTGTAGGCCAGGCTGTTGATCTGATAGGCAACACAGGCTAATGATTGGATGGTGTAGCCCTTTGTCTCCTGCAGCGCCAATCCCTTGTTCTCCGCCTTGCCAAAAAATCCATCCAAGTATATTTTCCTTTCACTATATCTCTGATATGAAACTCTTACTTCAGAAAACTGTGCATAAATCTTGGAAATTCCAAAGGAGCAACATCCAATTGTAACCATTTAACTGTTATGTCCGTATATGAAAGGACTCCTACTGTTGTGGCCTCACTGCTATGACTGTATATATCAGGGGTCGGGAACCTATGGCTCATGAGCCAAATCATCATAATGCGTTTTTTTGTTGCCAACTTCAGGAAAAATTATGTTTATTTTTTTTCCCAAAAATATTTTGCTCCAGAGCACTTGGCTCAATCTTAATATGGCTCACATGGCCATATATATATATATGTGGTTTGCATTTCCCACATTTTTAGAAATGTATTTAGCAAGCTCTCTGCATACAAATATTAATGCAATATACTCTGCCATCTGTTGGGAAAACATTGGAACTACTTAGGCCCCAAACTACAGGCCCCAGCCCTAATTCCAAAGAGGACTTGCCATGGATTCCTCGAGGCTGAGAAATACACCCCATTTGGCAATCGTCATATCTAAAGGTAAACAGATAAATTCTAGCAAAATGCTATAATAACAAAGAAATTTGCACCTTGGAACATTTTTTAAATCACAACAGGGAACACTGTGAAAACTTAGCACTGGAGGGGGTTCCAGCTATTTAAAACTCAACAGTTAAAGGGTTAAGGAAGGCTTGTTTTAGCAAAATTTCAACAATCAACCACCAAGATTTGATCATCAGTCGGACAATAAAAACTTAATAGGTATTTTTTCCACACCGGCAGTTTTGAAATTACATAGCATTCTAGAAGGCATTTCAGAATATATTTTCTTCATGCAGCAAAAGAAATTGGTGATGAAATCATACCTGCAGATAGTTGCTCTCACAGTATTCAGCAACCCGGTCAAGGTTGGAGTGACTCTCCACCAGATTCTGTCTCCCTTCTGGAATCTCATGTTCCATCAGGGAGCCTAGGTCCATCTCTTGCAATTCACCCATTCTCTTTTCGCCCTCCTTATTTACATTTTTTACCTGGTTTGACAGTATCTATTTCAGTTGAAACACTCCCTTTTGCAGCAACACACTAAAAATGTGTGGGCATAAAGGCATTATGCTGTTATTCATTGCATTTGCTGGGCAACAGCCCAATTCAGGGTTTATCTCCCTGAACCTGCATCCCATCTCAAGTCTTTAAGATGCTATATCATATCCATGGAAGGGTGGGGATCTTGGTCTTTTTACCAAGTCACAAATCAGTGAGAAAAAAACCTTATTTGTCAGGGATATCCATAACCATCAATTTCTTTTTATAAATACTGGCACCATATTGACATAATAATCACACAAACTAGAGTCTTTCTGCACCCTGGGATGTTCACGCATTTCACAGTCAGTGACACAACAATGAAAATCCGTTTCCCTTCATATATTTTTCTAAACATATTGTGCCTGTGTCTGAAAGCTGAGGATCGATTCATCCAAAGACAAATTAGCCATTTGCATTAGCATAGGTTGAGTTTAGGGTGGAGGCAAAATGTGTCTAGGTTAAAGGAGAAAACAGGGAGTAAACCTTGCCATCACCAAGCTGTGTTTCAGTATCACAGATTTGTGGCTGCATAGCTTGCTTGTTCCAAGAACTACATCATGTTGATTAGGTGTCTCCTACTTCCTCAAGTCAAGGTGGGTCCCCAAAATATACCAGTTCAGATGGAGAGGTTCATCACCCCATGTCAATTATAAGAGAACACCATCTGTCTTGGAGGGACTAAAGAGGAGAAAGTGCTGTGGATTCCAGTAGAGCATGGCATGATGGAAGATCAGAGACCAAATGTAAGGAATGAAGTAGTCTTCTGGTTCTTCCTCTTCCACATATTTGAATTTCAGCTCAGGGAATTTCTGCTCAAATATAAAACAAAATAACTTTGTATTTGACATATAATTCAATTATCAGCAAACACTTGCCATTACTCATCAAAGGAACTATCACTGCCAATTGAATTAATCTCCAGTAATTTTGAATAGAATATCATCTCATAAAATTAACAATACTTAAGTTACCTTAAGTCTTTCCCTGTGCCAGGTCTGAACAGCCTCAGCAATGATCCTCTGGACATCACTCACTCCCAGTTGCTGACCAAATGGTTCCAAACGACTCGAAAAGTAACTCAGCACCTATGACCCCACAGAATAAAGAACCTCTGAGAAATAGATATCACTATATATTAACATCATCAGAAGTCTAACAATAGGACAAACATGCTTTCTTTCTTTCTCTAACATTTTTGGAAAGGCAAGAAAATCCCATTTTCTGAATGGAAGATTAAATCTTGAGAAGCATTCACCTTTGCACCAGAGACTTCAAAGTCTGAGCATGTAACAGTAAATATTCATCATTATTCATTCACCTGCATGAAAAAAGAATTAAATTATTGCCCTCCTGAGAATTTCCTAGATTGCACATTCACCCTTTTATCAGATTTGTGGCAATATGGAAGTGACTTACCATATCAATGTTGTGAGTGATGTCCTGAAAGGCAGCATGAGAACGAAATGGCTCAAACATGTCTCGCCGGTAAAGGAGAGTATAGATGAGGTCTGTGTTATGGGCTAGCTGATAGGTCAATGTGGAATTCAGGATCTCCAACAGCATGCGAATCACTTCTTCCAGAACACATAGATCCTGCACCTGCAAAACGCACACCAACAAACTCAACAAGCAGGGCATAAGCTAAGAGTTACCAGCATTTAAATACTTCTTTACAAGGAAAATACATATTTGCAAGCAAGACAAATTGTTAGACAAATTGTTGAGTTGTTGTGGCTTTTGATAAATTTCTCATGCCTCTATTATGGCACCCCCCAAAAAAACTTAACATTTTTTTCAGGACCAGGAAGGTAAAGTATGTTCACATCACCCACCCACACACAAAGAGCCTCATGTCTGATCTTTCTGTGTCTCCTGTCCATTCTCTGTGTCCTGTCTCATTTTGCTTCCTTGAAAAGGAGAATGGGGAATACGCTTCAAAAGAGGCTCAGGATTACAATTGATTTCCTACTTTCTGGTATAGATACCCTATTGCAAAGCTTCTCTTTTTTTCATGCTATTTCAAAAGCCCTTGATTTATCCAAGGAGACAGACCATCTCAGCAAGACTCTCATCTTCAGTAGTTCCATTCACTGTGATGACATGAGGATCAGCTCCATCCTTGGCCTCTTGATCCTGCAGATGATGATTAGGTAGCATCTGCTGCCTTGCTGGAATCAACTGAAGTAGCTTGGAGCGTTTCTTGGAAAGAAGAGCTAGCAGTGATGCCAAACGCTGACAGACATACGGATGAAGGTTCCGAAACTGAGATGACATGTTGGCCAAAGCAGCTAAGCAATTTGTGTGCAGGTACTTGTCCTGAAGAACAAAAACCAATCCAACATGTCACCAAGAATTATAATTTAAAAATATTACTATGATATTACGTATGCAATGATAATTTTTTTTTACAAGAAAATACTTCCATAAATATAATTCAAGATCCCAATGAAGCTTATTCATGGAGTTAAAAAATATTATATATGAATTTGGACCAACATTACATCAGATAATGTTTAGGATTTGGCTCTTTAATGAAGAAACCAAAAAAAATTACAAGAAAAGTTACTTCAACACTGAATTCATTATAATCCAGCATCATTACAGAATATGCATGACTGGATTGTTGCATGGTTTGTCATATCAAGTACACAAGAGCACATCAAAATTGTAACAACAAGCATTTCTTTTTTTAGTTGGAACTTTTGACATTTTTTAAGAAAAAAGATTTCCATAGATAACAACTTCCATTTGGACTATCAATGGCTAGATGATTTTCATTTCCTCACCCTCATCTTTGTGAGGTTGTACTGAATGGTGCGAATGACAACAAGGACAAGGAGTCCTCCCAGAGAGATGCGAGGGATACTCCGTTCTGTGTACCATTCAATGTTGTTCAAGATGATATCATGCACAATGCTGTTGAAAGGATCGTCCTCACTCAGAATGAGGAGGACAATGAGGGCCATGTATATGTGGTGAGAGTTGTGGTCACCGGCCTTGTACAGGGTCTCAAGGAGAGGTAGGACCAGACGTTCCACATCGGTGCGGGCAAGAACAAATGTTCGAAAGTGTGGATTCCGATGGAGGAGGAGATAGAGGAGGAGTGTTGCCTGGTCAGATTTCAGGCCCGAACAGAGGGTGTCATACAGAGCTGCATAGTCCATGCGAAATGTGGCCACTGCTTGGGTGTGTGGTGCTTCCATTCCAGAAGCTGAAATTGAAAAATACAAAATGTCAGGATGGAAAGCACTCCCAAATCATTCAATGTCAGCCAAACCATGCACGAGAGGAGTCTTGACATTTTTTTAATGCAGAGGAATGCAGATGCAACCTCAAGCAGGAAGATCATTGAATGGGAAAATGATTATTGAAGTTATGCAAGTGAAAAATTGTCCACTGAAAATGCAACTGCATCAAATATTTAAAAATTCATCCAAGACAAATAACTTCACATTTCAATGAATTCTTTGACTGCACTGTGTGCAAATTTCACCTTTTGAATCAGTGAAGGAGAGCAATGCCTGTCTGTACGGGTTGGGCAGAGACTTGTCACTGGTACAGTGGTTACTCAAGACCAGAATGAGAAGGAGGCTTTGTTCAGCAAGGGGGGCAGCAGGTATGGAGTCTTTGCCATCCCCTTTCTTGGGAGTATGGGGAGCAACTTTGCTGTAGCCCAGGGTGAGAACACTCCAAAGTCCTGAAGCAAGGCCAAGGATGATGGAACCTCCTGATTCCTCACTTACAATATGGGGAGGTAGTGGCAGCTGGGCCAGGTAATTCCCCAGCAGATGCTTCATTAAAAGGCCAGCATGGATGCTACAGCGACCTGCCATCATTGTCCTAGGGCCAAATAGCAATAAATTATTGCAAGGCATTAAAATTAAGATAAACTACACTTTATTGCCTTTGCAGGACTACCAGTATACCAGTACTGAGATATTTAAAAAATAATTCACAAATAGCCTTGATAATAGTTTTTTGGCTGCTGATTGCCCATGCAAAGAACTGAAAACAGGAAAGAAAAAAAAAGCTCATTACAAAAAGAAACTCATCACAGTAACATAGACAACCAAACCATTAGCTTAAAGTCACACTTTACACTGATACCAGCAAGAAGTTTTTCCTGCAAGCATCAACACATTCTGACAAAAGTACCAATTCATCCCTTAATATGGATCAGTAGAATCCTTGCCACAACAAATAAAACAACAAACACCAAATAGGCTTATTAGACAATTATATTTACCTGTAGATGATGGACTGATAGGCAGGCTTGGAGAGATACAACTGAACGGAGAAGAGAACAAGAAGGGAATGGGCAGCCTCCAAGTGCAAACTGTAGGTGATATCCCTAGGAAAAAAACAACAAGATCACAAAAGCAAACATATATCCATCTGGCATATATATGCTCAGATCTGATATGGAATGGAGTGGGTTGATGCCTACATGATGGGGACATCTACCATCAATTCCACCAATCCATTCATGAAAGGCTCCAAAAGATGGGCTGGTCCTTGACTTCCTCTTAAGTCCTCAGAATCCTCTACAAATGGGAGATGACCAAGGTTACAGTTACAGCCCTACTTGTGGATGGATGTGAATCTTGGCAACAAAAAAAAGTACTCACTTTGTTGCATTCTAAACTGTTCAACAAAATCTTCTTCTGTAATGCTTTCCAGGAAATACTTAATCACACTTCTGAGGATGAAGAGAACATTGTGCATATGCCATAGGAAAATGTTCCTAGAAGAAAAAACACTCAGATTCATCTCCTTTTCATTCCTAGAGAGCCAATTTAGTTTATTAAAAAAACTAGTAAAAATGAAATCCAAACATACCCATGGCACTGAGCAGATGCCTTTAATTCATGAGACCTCATGAGAAACACCTGCACAAGTGATGCAAAATTCCCAGACTGGTTGTTATTGGTCAACAAGGACTTGCATAGTTCATGTGTGCTCTCCTCAAGAAGGCGATAGTCACTACTGCAATAACAAAATAATAGCCTTCATAAGTATCAAGTTCTAGTCAATTAAACCACATTATAGGTCTTGGCTCCATCTAGGCCTAGCCAAAGGAGTAAGTCTGAGGCCAAGACCTGTCACAGGTAATTATCAGGTCTTATTCTAAGATTTATATCATGATATCTACACCCAACAGCCAAAATACTGAACATTTAGAAATTCACCATTTCATCATCCTCACCCATATCAAATAAGATTCAGGCATGCTTCCAACAACCTCAGATTACACTACACAATTTATAGGCCTGCATTTAGACTCTAAACTTGTTCATCCAGGTAACCAATTGTAGTATATCTTGCATACATCTCAACACCATCATGCCCATCCTACATCAGCCTCATGAGCCCAAAACTCATTCTGCAGTCCTACATCTATGAGGGAGTGACAAATAAGAGAAGTCAGTCACACACTGATGCTTGTGAATTCTATTGAATGCAACCCTGCTACCAGGGCAGAAATGGTAAGTACTCAATTTCAGCTTCAAAGGAGATGTTGCAGTAATCAGCTTTGTGCTTGTTATACACGTTCCTCACATTTACCCATGTCAGTTAAACCTGTACTCCTGCTGCTCCTTCCCATTCCCCTCATTATTTGATTTCCTTCCACAATTCCTTAATGCAAACAACGCAATAATCCAATATGCCAACTTCATCCAAAGATGAAGAGTGACATATTCTTTGCACTGAAAGAACTATAGTTCTTCTGACCTACCCTGCAAATGCAAGTCTTCTGATTGTCAGAAATAAACCACAAGCAATCTCATCAAGGAATTCCAAGATGACAATATCTGTTTATCCAAAGGGTAAAAATTCAACTTGTTAGTCACATTTTGACTGCAACAGCAAACTCAATTCAGCCAGTCTCAGAATTTCCTCAAAGCAGCTGAACTAATCTGAACTTTAATACAGATAAAACCACCATGGCAGAACTTCTACTTGACCTCAGGCCTTTCTGGCACAACAAGTCTGCAGCAACCTCCTTCTTCAGAAAACAGTCATCATGGTTACTTACAAAACCAAGGAACATGAGAACTGTAGAATGTTATTTTCCTATGGAGCAAATGATAGCATTTCATACTGCTACTTGTCATAATCAAACTTTACATATTTGGAAGACGACGGCTCCTAACCATGGAACAATTAACCTGATCTAGAGTTAGGCTAACAAGTTAGGCCTAATCAGAGGCCAACCTGGTATAAGGAGGGCGAAAAGTGAAGGAGAGGAGTTGATTCCAGAAGGGGTCATTGGGAGAGATGTGCTCTTTACCGGCAAACCTCTGCAGGTATTCGTTTTTATGCAGCTCTCCAATACTGCTGCTGGAGATGCCCATTATTTTTTTCGAAGCTAGAAATTCACCCGAAACCGACGGGTCTCACAGCTAATCATGGAAAGCGGCTGAGCCTGCCACCAAAGGATCATCCAGCACTGCAGGTCGCCAACTTGTCAACGTCATTCACCACAGACAGTGATGTCAGATATCCCGAGCTTCGATTTTTCTTATTCCAACTTTTAACAACGTCCTCGTTTGATTTTACAGTGGCAATTGATGCCTACTTACCTGATTTTAAATGCGTTATTTTTTAGATACTGTATAGTTACTTCATGGGTCTCCTTTTTTTCTTTTTTTTTTTACCTCCACAGCAGCTGGGAAACGCCACTTGGATTGACTTGCCTGTGCGTTAGATGCTTGCAAGTGAACGAAAATTGAATTTCCAATCTCATGAGAGTCATTCCATGTCAAATCAACACAGCCATTTGCCTCACATTTGCAATAGTATGATAATTTGTCAAAGGAAATAAAAATGACCTATTTTCTGCAATTAAAGGTCAAAGGTCAGACTCTTTGACCTTTGACCGTTTTCATTGAAGGTCCTATGGAACAAAAAATCCGTTACCATTTGTGATTTCATCAGCACCAAGAGAAGAGATCGTATTCTGATAATACTGTAATTTTTACTTGTCTTACAAAATTGCTATTTTATTTAATCCTCATCTAGGGAAGGTATTTTCGTGCGACTAACACTCAAAGAATATATTCCTTAGAGGCAAAACGTCCATGACGATTCACTTTTGGATCTATGAATGAATGTCGATTAGATACTCATTAAATTTTGTAGAAAAGAAAAAAGTAAGTCCAATGGACTCCTGCTGGCCAGAAGTTAACATGCTCGTTGCAGTCGACTCTCGTTATTGCGAAGTTGATGAAGCCGCCGGAATTATTTCGTTGGAGCAGGAGGGAGTCGTGCATCTCCAATTAGAGAACTGAATCCTGTTATGCCTGGGTTATATGATTATTATCCCACTTTGAGGGCCCGACGGCATTTGAGGATTTCATGGACGACAGTACTTCGACACAGTGGCGGCTTCAGTGCGGGATAGGCCAGTGACGTGGCCAGGGAAGGGTGGCTGTCGTGGCTCCCACTCCCCCCTTTTTCCCCTGGCGAACATGAGGATTTTTTTTTTGTTAACCCTCGTAGGATTTCATTGGCCCTCGGACTATCGCTACGCTACTGGGTTGAGTCCGGGATGCCAAGAAAATATGTGTGACGCGAACCCGGAAAACGATTTTTTTTTAGCGTGAGTCTTCAACGAAGTGGAGCTGAAATGTAGAGGGCGCTCCGAGCGGATCTAGTCGAACCCGAGCCGCGAGGTTCATTCGCGTGTCGCCGGGGGAGCGGTCCAGGCGGTCCTGCCGCTTCGTGGCCGGTCCTGTCGCTTCGTGGTCGGCTTCGTCTGTTGGAGTTAACCGAATTTCCCCTGGATTTCTCCTGCGACCTTCGTCGAGTTGTGAGCTTCTGGATGTTTATTCCCTTCTTTCCTGCAACTGTCTTTGCTCTGGATTGCTTCTTAAATATTCATCTAAAGTTTGTTGGTTTCAGTAATGCTCTTATTCTTTTTTTTTTTTAAAGGTTAGTTTCCCAATTGGCGAAATCGAAGAATTTCAATTCCATCAAACTGGCCATCAAACTAGTTCAGGACCAACTGTCTCTAAATTGCCTCTCTGCACTTCCCATTTCTCAAGTTTTCGAATCAGAAAGCTTTTCTTGTTGTTGCAAAATTTGGAGATCCGGCGTGGGCCTTCGGTTCTCGAGAATTTCTCGCCTCTTTTCGTGAAGGAAAACTAAGTTCTCAGTCGGCAATGATGTCTCCCGTTTCTATCATTTTGCGTTTTCGAAGCCTATAATGCCTTCATCATCTTCACTTCACTATGATGGAAAACGTATGCAAGCAGAGTTCCTGCTTAATGCAACATTTACAATTGTATTATCACACTCAGACTTTTATATTGTTAAATAATGTATGATACATCTATATTAATGCAAAATTTAAAAATCACTACCGGGAGGCAGGAGAAAATAAAAATTTTGGAAGAGAGAGATCCGAAAGCGAGCCGTGGTGCTGATAAAACAGGTGAACGAGATTTAAAAAAAAAAAACTAGTTTTGCAGGATTCTGATTTCATCGGAGTGAAAAGAGCAGGGCACCCCCCCCCCCCCCCACACCCACTCGAAAGGAGAGGGGTTTAGTTTTGCAGGATTCTGATTTCATCGGAGTGAAAAGAGCAGGGCCCCCCCCCCCCCCCCCCCACACCCACTCGAAAGGAGAGGGGTGAATCCCTTGCGTCCGAAATGACGCCGCCGAAACGGAAGGCATTTCCACTTTCTGAAGTAAAGTGGCATCCATTATTGCTTCATACATGCAGTCACTTGTTGGTGCCCCTGGTGAATTTCCACCCAGTGCGGGGGCACATACGGCACGTGCCTAAGGCCGGCCCAGCACGGAAGAATATCTGGCAATGCTGCATAGATTTGGCAACGCAGCACTCAGGCCTCTTCTCTCCGGCCTGAGTCTCATTCCGTTCACTTCGCTGCGAGACTGCCCTTCCCTCCCCCCCCCTCCCCCCCCTCGACTCCTCCATCCCGCTTCCAGCGAATCGGAGCAGGTCAGGCCGGGGAGAGGCTGGCCTGGGTTGGAACTGCGCATGCTCTGACTCGCCTGCGATGGGGGGGGGAAGGGGAAGCCAGGACCCAGCAGTTCTGAGCAGACGGCATTATTCCACCCTTTTCGTATGGCTTTACTCGTTTCCAGTACTTCCAGTGGCGGTGCGACTGCACCGGGACCCACGGGTCGGGTCGGAGGGGCCTAGGAGCCGAGCTACGAAGATGGGGGAAGGGGGGGGACAAAGGGGGCTGTTGCCCCGGGCCCCACTTTTCCAAGGGGCCCTCTGAGGAAATTAAACAAGTTAAGTATTCGCGTAAATTAGCAGGGGGGGGGAAGACCAATAATCTAATTGCCTATGACCTCGCAACTTTTTGATCCGGCCTTGCATTCACCCTTTCATCAGTGGCGGATCCAGGAGAAGGGGGTCGACTGCTCCTCCTCTGGTCAGGTTCCCAGTCTTTTTTTTTTAATTTAAAGAGCACGTAAATTAATGTTTATTAGCTCCTGTGAAATGGATATTTAGGGTTTTTCATCCCCTGAGTGCAGCTCCCGACGACGATATATATGGTGCTGGAGAAAATATATTAAAAAAAACTCCCACATAACTCAATGACATCCCGTTCGGCACAACAACGTAGTGGCAACTTTGAGAAAAGGTTGAAACGTTGAGACCTGGTTGATTCGACGAAATGCTATTTAAAAAAAAAAAAATACTTATAAAAAAAATGAACCGCATTTTCAGCATCTCGTGACTCCTCGTGGATCATCCAAGTCGTTCGGAGCCAATCGCGTAAAACATTGTCAGTTGAAAAACGAGCCTTTCCCCGCGCCGAATAAGCGACAGGGACAGCAGGCCCCGTTTCATTCCTCGCACCATGCCAACCATGCCAACCGCGCTACGCCACTGAGTACTTCGCCAAATTTACTGACACGAGGAAACCGAAATATTTTTCTGACTTCTCACATAGGAGTTAAGATGGAGAAAAAGTGACAAATTCACCGTATCTCTCTGTGCTCTCTTTCTTGTCTGGCCCCAACGAGCCGGCCCCGACGAGCCGGCCCCAACGAGCCGGCCCCGACGAGCAGCGGTGATAGGCTTACAGCGTTGGAAGTCGCGTTGGCAGCGGATGGGATTGAAAATCTGAAAAGTATTTGTTGTACGGGGTCCCTAGGAAAGTGCAAAGACGGGTCACACAGGGGTCACAGTGGTCACACAGTGGTCACACCCGCAGTTAAGCCAAAAGTGACTGCCCGAGTTCCCGCCAGATGGCCGTTCGAGGTGTCCAATTGAACTCGGAAACCGTCGGCCGGAGGAACCCGCTGATGACGTCATCTGGAAGCCGTAGACGATCTACTTTCGAACGAGGGGTTGAGATTCGAGCCGACTCGAAAGGTCAAAGGTCAAAGGTCAAAAGTCCATATAACTGAGAATGTCGTCATTTTTGTGAACGGATCCGCCAAAGACGAAAACCACGCGTTGCGATTCTCGATCGTGCCGCCGCGAGTTCCGTTCGCGGGAACGGCTTTTGCGAAAATCTCGTTTTGCTGAGCGCCTTTCCCATTCGCGATCCGTCAGGAATGAGGAGTCCAGAAATCCGCGTACGAGTTTTTTACGATATTTCCCTTTTCACTCCTCTTCTGTGTGTGTGTGTGCTCTCGGCATTCCGGTTCTTCAAAATCCCTGGGACTTCTTCCTCGTTCGCAAGGGGTTTTCTCTCAAGCAGAGGACGGGACGCACGACGAATTTTTTTTTTTTTCCACCGCCTTCGTTCTCCTTCTCCCAGCCCCTCGTGCCGGGACGTGCCTGGCACGTGCCTGGCACTCGCCTTCCCCCTTCTCCCCTTCCAGATCCGGTTTTTTATGCGACTGGAAAAAGAGAGACGGTTTTTTTTTTTTTCCTTCACTCTTGAAAATCCCGTCCCTGCGTATCGAAATCCTCGTTTTCTACTCGTGGCGTTTCCGCCGTCTGGCAATGGTTCTTTAGCATTTGTACCAGAAAGATCGCGTCAGCCACCTTTCTACCTATTTTTTTTTTTTTACAGGTCGATTTTCCTGAACCGTCTGCATCGTGCCGATTCGGGTCGTCGCTCGACGCCAAACTCGATCGCGGACCGAAATTTGCGGGCCCGATCCGCAGGCTACGTCGGGGCGATCGCCGGCTGAGGCAGCGGCGCGCGGCCTTTCTCCCCGTCGAGGGCCGAATCGAGATTTCGGCTCGCGTCCGAGGGCCGCCGTCGCGAGCCGAAACGGGCCGCAAATAAATACGGATTTTCGGAGACCCCGAGGCATCCCAAAAGGGCAAGGGCAAGGGCAATGTCCGAGCGGGCTTTCGCATCTTCGTCGAATTACGCCAAACCGATTTCGTTCTGAGCCAATGTATGAGGAAGGAAAGCTCTCGACTCTCTCCGTCTCTCTACGGCAAAGAGGCGCGGACTCGAATCCGACGGCCGACGTATGATCCCTCGGAAGAAACCGGACGTCGATCTCGGGGGCCGGAGAAGGAATCCCATGATGATTCCCCGGATACCCATCCCTCCTCGTGGAATTCCTTCCGCCCTGCAGTCTCAACTCGAACCCCATCGAACTCCCTTCCTCACTCCCTCGCTTCCTCACTCTCTCGCTTCCTCACTCTCTCGCTTCCTCACTTCCTCACTCTCTCGCTTCCTCACTTCCTCACTCTCTCGCTTCCTCACTTCCTCACTCTCTCGCTTCCTCACTTCCTCACTCTCTCCCCGTCCAAACGCAGAGTTCCGTTCCCGCGAACGGAGCTCGTCGTGGCACGATCGAGAATTTCGCGTCGCGGCTCGAAAAAGGAATCGGCGAAAGAGGAGACGGAATTGGAATCGTTCGAGTGGAATGCCGACGGAGACGTCGAGGAGAACCGATCGAAATCGCGACCTGCGACCCGACTTCGTCGCTCGACTCGGGCCGTCCCGAGGGAACGAAGGCGGGAAAGCATCCGCGAGACTCGTCGCCGTGGGCTCGAGAAACTTTCCGTCGTTTCGTGCCGGAGACGGAAGTCCGGTCACGTGAGGGTGGGGGGGGGGGGGGGGGGGGGC